GCACATTTTGCACACACCTATGTATTTATTTTTATTTATCTTGTTTGTCTTTTGTTTTATAACTATTCTGATGTCTGTTTTGCTTGTCTTGGGCTGGACTGCTGTGACACATCAATTTCCCTACGGGATTAATAAAGTATTATCTATCTATCTGATCTCTGACTTTTGTTTTTTATCACCGAGGTAAAAGAAGCATCTGTACACGACAGCAGTATGTTCATGTAGAAGAACGAAAAACTGTCCATTTTGAAGCAGGTCAGTGGTAGGACTTTAAAGCCAGCTGACGGGAAAAATGTTTCCACCAGCTTGAAAGTGGTCATGCTGAATACTCTGATTTGTAATGAGCATATTGTGATTCACCTTATATGTATCAAACACAACTTACTACTGCAGATAAATGTAAGATACAAATTCATTAATTTAACTCAGATAAAAGATTAATCAGATTGATTAGGTGAATATGAATAGAAGAACAACAATCAAGAGAGACCAAGGATACATATGGAGGACAGATGGACTGCTGAAGGGTTGTATTTCTGATCTCATGACGCTGACAGATGCAGCGCTCACAGCACGCATGAAAAGCACAGATTTACACAGTTCCATCATCATACCTGGGCCATTGATGATCCTTGTCAGTGAGGGGAACATAGATGACTCCCATCAGGGCCTTCCTGGAGAAGGAGCCATCACTCTGTCTGTCATACTGCTCCAGCACCTGGCTTCCTCCCTCGGGACCCACAGGCAGGACCAGCCTCCCCCCTGGCTTCAGCTGGGCCAACAGCTGCCACAAGGCACACAATGGGTCATTTCTTCCCTCACAATATTTTCATATCCGTCTGTATATGTCGACTGAAATACACCGTCTTTCTTCAGTTCAGTTCCCTAATGGTGACAGTCTGCAAAAAGCTTCACCTACCCACTGCTGCCCACAGGTAAATCCTAAACTGCTACAGAAAAGCTACAGGTGGGTTTGCTCCCAAGCCTAAACACAGCTGTATGTGTCACTCCAATACGAGAAGAAAGACATCCTGCTTAATTAAGGTGAGGTGGAACTGATGATAGGGGAGTACAGTGAGTTTATTAGTTTGGCTAAAATATTGTTTCACCAGGTGAAGACAATTACTCTGCATTGGAATAAGTGCAATCGACATAAATCCATCTTGCTGAATGTTGCCCAATTGTGCTCATTTTAACTCCATGGCAAAGCCTGCACAGGTCCACAAACCACTACTTCTAATTCCCCTCAGCCCAGTTCTTACTGCTTTGGGAACTGCAGCGGCTGCCGCGCCCACATGGATGGCATCATACGGGGCTCCCTCTGGGAAACCCTGCCGACCATCTGCCACTGGAAAAGATAAACCGATCATAAGAAATGAGAGTCCAAGAGCTTGATCACGTTTCTCGCTGCCGATCACACTGAATATTATGATCTGTTTGTCAGTTCCTTTATAACATGAAGTTTTTCTTGCAATAGTATAGCAGGATGTATCACATGTCTCCATCTACCATTCGTTTTAGTTACTTTAAACAAAGGCAACTGGAAAAACTGAAAAGACAACACAATCCTGTTGTCTCACTGTGCAGCTACCTCTAAGAATTTAAATTAAGTTATTTAAGTTATCATGGTATATTAGTGCCACAGATGTCACCCTGCAACTCACAACTGGCAACCCAATGAAGCTAAGCAGGTGTGAGCGTGGTCAGTACCTGGATGGGAGACCTCCTGGGAAAAACTAAGGTTTCTGCTGGAAGAGGTGTTAGTGGGGCCAGCAGGGGGCGCTCACCCTGCAGTTCATGTGGGTCCTAATGCCCCAGTGTAGTGACGGGGACACTATACTGTAAACAGGCGCCGTCCTTCAGATGAGACGTAAAACCGAGGTCCTGACTCTCTGTGGTAATTAAAAATCCCAGGGCATTTCTCGAAAAGAGTAGGGGTGTAACCCTGTCCTGGCCAAATTTCCCATTGGCCCTTACCAATCGTGGCCTCCTAATAATCCCCCTCTATGAATTGGCTTCATTACTCTGCTCTCCTCCACACTGATAGCTGATGTGTGGTGAGCGTTCTGGCGGAGGTGGAGGGGAATCCCCATTACCTGTAAAGTGCTTTGAGTGGAGTGTCCAGAAAAGTGCTGTATAAGTGTAAGCAATTATTATTATTATTATTATTATTACTTACTCGGGGTAAGAAGAGCCACTCTCATACAGGGTACAGATTAGCTGCAAAAGCAATTACATAGGCCCCCCCTAGGCAAGAGATTCCTGTTCTTACCAAGAAGCTTAACCCGTCCAGAGGTGAGCAGGTCTGGGTCATCGGCTTGGACATTTCGAATGGATTCCTCCACAAGCTCAGCAATGTGCTCAATTCCAATCACCCTCCCCGAACAACCCACCTGACCAGGGACAGAACAGCCGGGGAGAGAAGGGTATGCTGAGAACATATACTGCACAACGAGCAGAAATTAAACTGGATATCACAGATGATCCTCTGTTTTTTCATCACCAGTGAATACCCCACTTGTGTTATTGACGGTGCCCTCACCCGAGCCAAAAACAGCCATCAGGATCATCAGCTCGATCAGGAACTCCCGGCCTAGCAACCGCATTCCTTTGGTGCTTCCCTACCACCCTAACACACTCTCTATCCCCAGGACCATTAACAACAACTTTCCTATCCTACAGGATGATCCCTCCAATGGGGCCCTCTTTCCTGACCGCCCTATCATCTCATATCCCTGACCACCTAACCTACGTAACCTTGACAATCGAAGAAGGATCCACAGCTGAAACGTTGTGTTTTCTTTCTTCTCTTTTCAGCACGGAATAAACCTATTACTTGTTCCTTTGCAGCCTATGCATGCTGTCATAGCTACACACCTGAACGACTTATCAAAAAATATTCATTTATCTGAAGATGTTGCTTCAGATAGGCAGAGTTAGGGCCCCAGAAGGAAGGTACTGTAATAATACTTTCAAAGGCAGCAGTGAACTTTCAACATACCATTCTTGCAAAGCAGGCAGTGAGATAGCCACTGCCCGAGCCCACATCCAGGGCTGTGGCTCCTTCAGTCAGCTTGTCTCTCAGCACCTCCAAAGCATGGGCATGCTGCACAAGACAAACACACTCACGTGCCGTTAACTTAATCTGAATGAAAGCCAAGGCAGAATACAGTATTTAAGAGACTTAAAACCAATTGCTGCCGAGATGTTTGCCCCTTTTCTCTAAAAAAGAAAAAAGGCTGAAAACATAACATCATCAAAAATAAACTCCCACTTGAGGAATGTCAAACATTTAAAGTCGAGACAAAGGCATTCCATTATGTCTTATATGAACCACTGAATGCATTCAATAAGTTTTTCATGATCCAATATACTGTAACATAACAAAGTGACAAACAATACAGGTTAAGCTATACAGAAAGCATAGGTTGTCACAATGTTTTTTATTTTTACTTCAATCGTTACAGTAACACTTACAATGCCTTCACGATTTGTGATGGTATTTGACTTACCATGTGTGGGGCACTAATGGTAGCCTTGTACCCTGCGACAACAAATATAAAGTCAATTAGTCACCGGTGCCTGTAATAGGGCTCCATTCAACTACCTAGATACAGTATGTAAATGTAGAAATTACTTGGTACGGAGAAACATGGATTTCTAAATAAAATATATTTCATACTTTTCAATTACTAATAACCTTTAAAATCACAATTTGCAAATAAGTCTCATAGCTAAAATTTACAGAAATTCATACTACATCTCAAAGAGCGAAGCTAATAAACCAGTCATATGTAATCTGCAAAGCTCATCTGTGTAATTGTAAAGTATACCTATAGACTGTGGTGCATCCATATAGGGAAAGTCTTTAGTGTAGTGCCCACGGTCTGTGGCCAGCATCACATTAAACACGCTGTCAGATGTAATTACTCCGCGATCTTAAGAAAAAGATGTAAAAAAACAAACAATGAAATAAACACGCAAACAAAAAGGAAGAATCCTGTTTTCTTTTACTGAACAGTGAAGACACCCCTTCTTCCAAAGAGGCCCCAATCCATGTGTACATGTATCTCTGTACATCCCTTAATGAAACGGACTCAACAATGCATAGATCAGCGTGCAACAAGTACACAAAAGAGCTATGTGAACAACATACATTACGTCAAATACCACTGCGCTACTTGTCGAGGTGCGATTGTAATTTAAAGGCAATCTCAAAACCAAGTGGTAAGGTTATTTCCTTTTCTATCAGGACAATCATGCAGTGGTCATTCCAGGTTACCCTTGAGCCGGGTGATGAGCTCTGCATGTGTTCTGCCATTGGACAGGCGCGCCATGGTCCTGGACAGCAGCACACCCATTGGGAAAGCTACTGTAGCCAAGAGACTAACAAGTCGCATTTCCCACACTGAGTCAGCCCTGCCAAACACACAAAACCAACAGTCAGAAACGTTAGACAGAAATCCGAGACCTGCCCAATGACCTTGAAATAATCCATTTCCCCCTTCCCTGACACCAAAAAACACAGTTTGTGGGCATGTTCACTGTATGAAGACCTTACTGACACAATAAACGCTTTTATTGACACATTTCATCACATGGTTAGTTAAACTATATGGGATTTGTACATGTTTAAACGAAATCAAACACAAAAGCATCATAAGAGTAAATTATTCTTTCTGATTTTACTGTGTATTGATCACGTCTAATTTTAAATGCTTGGATCTCTAACAATTCATCTCAAAAGAAAATAAATCACATAGCCTTACTGGGTATTTCTGTCTACATTGATGATGATCCACAACAGCACAAAAACAGAACTATCAAATAGACTTCTAACTGCGATGTGCTTATTGTGATACGTTGTCAAGTGGTTCCCATACACATACTGTATCACGGCCAGATGATACAACATATCTGAAGTCGCAGGATGGCTGTTTTGTTACAGTAGCACAGCTAACTTTGAACAGTAAAACGGGTGTTATGCGAGACCATGTCATGATGTAACTATATAAACTGTGTAACTGAAATGAAGTTTCCAGCCAGTCGATATCAATTTTAACCGTCACGCAGAACTTGCAAAACTCTTTAACGAAACATTATTTTAATAATTCCCAATTAACGATATAATAAGCATTAGACTGTTGGTACCTATGGTAATATTTTACACAACGAGCTAGGGAAAAATTAAAATGACATTGTAATATTCGAAGAATATAAAGATGTAACGGAACATCGCTGAAGTAGAACCGAGGATAAAATCAGTTTGAAACACCGGAAACGGACACTGAAAAAACACCACCGGTACTTCGTAAATAAACTGATGTCAAAGGTGAATATTCTCCCACCACCAGTCACATTTCTGATGCGAACACCTCACCTGCACAGCTGAGCTGAGCTGAACTCCGCTTCAACTCACCAACACTTTGTAATACTTTACGGCACTGAACCTCCATGGAAGGGGTGGGAAATGTTGCCTAAGAAAACTATTTTACCCAATAGCGTTACAGCTTCAAGTTAAACTGACAGACAAAGCGCCAAATCAGATTACCAAAAGTACCACAACCTCATACATGATTGGTTGCTTGGAATGTCATTCTACCCCTTTCCTGAGATATGCTAAATCGTTTTGCGGGCAGATAACAGGAAGAAGGATTTCATTTAACATAAATAGAAAAGATGCTTCCTTTGCAGTAGAATTGCTGGATTTTTGTCTTTGTTGTTTTATTATTAAACAAAGATATCTTGAATTGCTAACAGGAGGTAATTTTCGCTTTGTGTGTTTTTTTTCTGTTACAATGCAAATAAGAAAATTTCAGGTTAGCTATACTGATAGTTGCGATTGCTTCAAAACGATATTTTTATTATGCTTTTTTCATTTGGATATATATTTAAAATATTCTCGGAAGATCAGTGCGATGTGGTTAAACGCTGACCGTCACAATTATGCAGCTGGATAACTTAGCGATAAAGACGACAGACCTATTTTGCTTTTACATTATTTGTAATGTTTATCTCAACGTTTCACGTTACACGCAAAAAGATAGGTAGAGATGTGCATCCACATTTGAAGTACATCAGATATCAGCCACTTTTTACATACATGCAAATAAATATGCAGGTTATTCAAAACGATGATAAAATTAAGTGTTACAGATCAAATTCGAAATCCACAATTGTGAGGGATTCGTGGGGAAAATGCTGACAGAATTCTGCCCTTTCTTCTGATCTAGTAGACCCCGAAAGAGCGAGGGCATGATCGACAGTCTGGAGACGCAGCGGCCGCGCTCCAGCGGCGATCTCTGGTCGGAGATCTGCTCGGGGCTGCCCGGTCACGAGGCCGGGGGTCAGGCGGGGGCAGAGTTCACAGATTCTTTCGAACCGCAGCCGCACGAGAATCTGCAGCACCCCGTCGCTAACGGGACCGAGGACGCCCCCAGTCCCAGCGCATGGGCGCCCATGGCTGACTCCGAAGTGTACATTGCCAGTCTGGGTAAGTGGGGTGGGACCTTAAGACACCATGCACCGAGACGAGTTGCCCACTTGGATGGGCGAGGGGAAAGTAAAAAAAAAACAAACTAGTCTTTCGTTCGTATCTATGTATATACGCTCCTACCCCGGTATCCGAACCTAATTCGTTCGTGGAAATCTGTTCGGAAGGCGGGAGATCGTAAATCGAAAATTAAAATTCCATTATTTCTTATAGTAATAATAATTGCTTACACTTATATAGCGCTTTTCTAGACACTCCACTCAAAACGCTTTACAGGTAATGGGGACTCCCCTCAACCACCACCAATGTGCAGCATCCACCTGGATGATGCGACAGCAGCCTTAGTGCGCCAGACAACTCGCCACACACCAGCTATCTAGAGCAAAGTAATGTAGCTGATTCATAGAGGGGGATTATTAGGAGGCCACGATTGGTAAGGGCCAATGGGAAATTTGGCCAGGACGCTGGGGTTACACCCCTACTCTTTTCGAGATTTTACGTCTCATCTGAAGGACGGCGCCTGTTTACAGTATAGTGTCCCCATCACTGTACTGTGGCATTAGGACCCACATGGACCGCAGGGTGAACTAAGCAGCAACCTTAGTTTTCCCAGGAGGTCTCCCATCCAGGTACTGAGCAGGCTGCTAGCTATGGGGAAAATTCCACCCTGTTCCGAACCGAAGACAAGTTCACTCCACCTTAAACATATAATACCATACAGACCATTATAGCAAGCTTAGTGAACAATGCAGTTCTTCACCAAATAAGCCAACTATAGCTGTAAAATAATATAATATTTACATATTTCATTTTGTAGAAGATCGCTATCCAAACAATCGGCTAGAACAATGTGCACGCTGTTGTTGAATATTACGCTAAATAACCTTTTTCTCTCCCTTAAGACCCCATAATGAACAGCAACTACAAAACAAACACAAAAACACTTTGAAAATGAGAGCACAAGCTTTCGCTGTGATCTTAAACAAAGCGCTTTACACCAATATCTTGCACTCGCGCAGAAACAGACAGCTGTTGGTGGCGCTGAACTCAACTGTTCGCAGAAGATTCTCGGACAAAATCGGTCACTTTCGAACTTCTAAATTGGGATTAACGAAATTACGTTTTTATAACGAATTATAAATTACACATTCTTCATGTTCGGATTAGCGAACATTTGTATACCGAACATTCTTATACCGGGGTATAAGTGTACTTTGTTTTTCTGCCTTTTTTTAAAGAGTTGTGCTGCATTAGTGCTGTATTTTGTGTCTTTTTTTATCTCCTGTCTTCTATCTCAAGAAAACCGTCTACGCAGAATTAAGGGCCAGTCGCAGGAAGTGACGTCACGTGAAATGCTTCGCACCCTCTCTCAAGCCAGGAAGGAATGCTGGGATAGATTCCTCCAGGACGAACAAATCTCAGACCTCTTTCAGGAAGGCAGTGACTTTGACCAGAGGTGAGTGGACAGTGGGAGTGTACCCGGCCTTTAACCTCTAATGACTAGCTCACAGATTTTAAACCACTGGCATTTGAAACTAAATGTACTAAAATAACTGGGTTTTTTTCCATCTGGCTGGTTGATTCTAGTCAATCTAGATCCAAAACAGAGTTTTGAACAATCTCAGTATTCCTAGGACAGATAGTTCATGCCTGTCGACTTTGTGTTCTTTTGTTTTGTTTTTTCATGAAGGAATCAAAGTTCTAACTTGTATTAAAAAGTATTCATCATCATGAATCATCTTTGCGAGCTATTGATATACATTTTATATATGTGAAATGTGGCAGGATTTTTTCGAATCATCATGGCGCTGAGTACTGTAGGTTAACACTCCAGGCTAGTACCTGAGGCATGAGTGAACAGTGTGCAAACAGTCTTTCTCCTTTGTGCACAGTGCCCTGGAGCAGCTAAAACGCTGGCTCCAGCCAGAGAAAGTGGCCATCAGCGCTGAAGAGCTGCAGTACCTCCTATTACCAGAGGAGCCCAGAGAGACAGCAGGCACGGAGGAGGGGCTGAGAGGAGCTGAGGCAGAGGAGCAAGATGAAGACGAAGAGAACCAGGCACCAGAAAAATAAGCATAATCTTGGCGGACTGCTGAACTGTCCTTCCAGTGATCAGTGTTACCATGTTCTGGCCAGGTGAAGAAAATTTAAATGAGCAGCAGACGCACTGCGGCTCTCAAACTGAAGGTTGACACAAAAGAATTTTAGCAATTCACATCCCTGTCGCTTCTTTCATCATTAGGCTTGGCATAATTAAATTGTGTACATACTGTATAACTGTTGAATCCCAATTCTATGACACTACAAGATTCTTCTATTACAGCCAGAGATAGTAAAAATCATTTTCAGGAAAGCTGTGGCATGTGCGGAGATTGAGGTACAGTAGATCAATTGGTATGGACAGACAGTATAGTACAATAGAATTTCAATTGACAAACTATAATAGATAGTTTTCATAAAGGATCCCGTCCTACTGTACTGTTGGTAAAACTCAACTCAGATGTCTTTCTGTACTGTACCATTTTACTGGAGCTCTACAGATGGAGGTAGAACCGAAACGAATGTTATGCTTTTGTTAAAGTAAAATACTAGAAGGTGGCTTGATATTCAATGAAACAGATGTGCAGATGCACATTACATTACAGCTCCATGGAAACAACACCCAGCCTTCTAACTTTCCTGGTGATTTTAAGGGGCTTAGTCATAGATGAGTCATTCTAGCATCCAGAGAGCTCCAAACTGAACTGGTGGAAGGGATACTGTGCAGAACGAATATGGTCAAATCGCTGCACTCTGAATCATATTTAAAACCTGAGTATTACCAGTCTGTTACCATTAAAGACAGCATATTTTTATATGGACAGGACATACTTAATTTCTGCATTATTACGTATGAAACATACTTCATACACAATTTCTGTATATATTACATATATATAAGTTATGTAATATGCATTTGTATTTCAAACCAAAATGTGATTCGTTCCGGGCAGATGAGATGAAACTTGGAATGATATACAGTAAATAACACACTTATACTTAGCATCAGAATCAGATTGACTCTTATAATTGTGCCAAATTCACAAACTCAACAGGAAATTTGCAACTGGTGGTTTGGTGGTTCACTGACATTTAATTGAAGAGATGTGACATATGCAAATCAATTCTTTGAGCTTATTAAAATGATCAACTAGCGGGTGTGCTGTGTAAGTTACAGGCTAGTATGCTGTGTGGACCACACAGGAAGCAATATAACCTGTATAGCCGAAAACAGTGCTTTTTATCGATTCTGGTCCTGTCAATCAGACGTGGACCTCGCCATTGATCGGTCTGTTGAACACAACAATCAGCATCCTTCCACATGTCTGCCCCACACTCACTGATATCAAAACCTGGATTCATCGCTGGTTGCTTTCAGTCTTTTTGTTTCACCAGTTTTTTAACCATTCAACAAATCAGGTCACCTCATCACCTTTGCAGAATCAAAACTCTCACTAATGAGTTGATTTTGTGCTTATATAACCAAGGCAGCCGAGTGTACAATATCACAGTCAGTAATGAATCATCAATTCTAATGCCATCAAAACATTTAATATCCAAAATCCATAATTTTATTTTTCTAAAGACTGACATGTATGGATAACATTTCTTTTGATGCTCTTTGTGTAATAATCAGATTCAGGATATGGAGAACTCTCATAAAGGTCTTCCACATGAATTGTTCATTGGGAATTGGGATTCATTAATCTTTCAAAGTTTCACAGAAATACGTTTATTATTACAGATTGTTTTTTGTATCAAAACTAATTATGGATTATAACTTATTTTGGAATTATGAAAATCATACATTTGGTTTAATATACTGAAAGGGAATCGTTGCTGGTTTTGGTCTGTTGATCCCACTGACACACTGGAAAGGATAATCTAATTTAACCTATTGAAAACATATGTTGAGATGCTGTCTCGTTGTACAATGCACACATGATTTGTCAGCTGTTTTAAAATGTTGGGTCATAATGATTCATGTGCCCAAGAAGTCAGTGTTTCCCCTTTCTTTATCAATAATTGTGTAATTTCACAACACTACACACTCAGTTTGCTGTCCTTTTGTTTGCCACCAGGTGGCAGCGTACTTGAGCAAGAACTGTAGTAATGCCTAATCCCTGTACTGTAGGTGATTTGTGACTATAACTTGTAAATGGACAGATTGTCTCCATTTCACTTTCAATTCTCAAATTGATACAAGAATAAAAGTGATAATTCAGAATCCTTGTTCTCCTAGGCCCTTAGGTATGTGGGCCTTTGTTTTTTTATTTTTTTGCCCTGTGCTGAAACACTAGGAGGTGCCTTTGACATACAATTCACCCTTTTCCCGATGGTTTTTGATTGATTTGCACAATACCCTGTCTGAGTCATCCTAGCTGCTGTGTTGAAGTTAAGAACAGTAGGAATACTGTATACTGTATGTTTTCTTTGAAATACAAAAAAGAACTTGTATTTCTTTTTTTAAGCATGAGTGTTTGCAATCTTCACAAAATGCATTCTTGGTAAAAAGAGACTGGAGAGGTGAAATAGTAGATGTGGAGCATAAGAATACTGAGGGTGAGGGGGGAGGTGAAGAATTTTTTTACTGAACCTGTGTTGATTAACTGATAACCAGCAGGATCAATACAGGAATCAAGGAGCTTCTTGTTTTGAAATTCTGCGATGTAACAGATTGAAAGGTTCCATCTTTACTTGCCTTTGTAATGTCTTTAAAGTGCAACATATGCAACCTGTGTTATATGAGAAAGTGTAGTGTTACCCATTTCTTTGAACTTGGAATATCCCTTCTGGTTTATCATTCCAACTTGGGTCCTAATGAAGCTTTATTAACTCTTAACTAAACCAACTTTGATTTTAACTGTTTTTTACACTTCAGATTTAGTCACCCAAATAACATTTTTGTGTGCCATTTCCAAGAAATATACACAGCAGAACTTGTTATCTTTCTGACAACTCTTAGACTTAGGTGTTTATGTTGACACTCAATTTACATGTTTTAGACAATGTGGGAAAGCAATTAAATAGTCAAACAGTATGCTAGCGTATACAGTAAAATTTAAATCAACAAATGTTTTGTGCATAATATAATAGACTTGTAATGCCTTATTAACAATATTGTGTAAACTTTTTGACACCACATTATAGAAAAGATACTGGTGCTCTGGAATCCGTCCAGAGAAGAGCAACCAGATACATTCGAGGGGTTAAGGGAATAATCATGGACATACATTTAAAACCAAGGACCGGAGGCACTTCTATTCCAAAAGGGCTGTGGGAGCCCTGAACATGCATCACAGCCATGTTGTTGAAGCCAATAGCCTGTCATCTTCCAAAACATGGCTGGATAAGATCCTAAAGTCAATTAACTATTACTAACTAATTAGTAGTAGTAGGTAGGTAGGTAGGCCCCCTTTTCAGGCCATAAAGGCCCATGGTGAATGGGGGGCCCTTGCCATCTGAGCTACCAGAGCTCAGTAGGAGCAGTAGCAGTAGCAGTAGTTACTACTAACTACCAAAGGGATTAGATTAGCTGCATCTCTGCATGCTCTCATTTGTAGCCAATATTATATTTTTATTATTAATGGTGTGCAGTCACTGCAGGACACTCCCACAATAATGATCTTTTTGTCCCTTTGGATAAATTCACCTAAATCATTGAAGCTATACACCTCAGTGAGAGGAGAACTGCAACTCATTATCTGACCATGGGTCCGTGTCAGTTTGTACCATGAGAACATACAGTAGGTTACACACTACATGAGGCCATTCGGTCCATCTACATGTGGTTTAATTTAAGAATGGAAAAAAAATGAACAGACAGTTCAATTAGCGGTGTTTGATGAGTCAAACTATCGAAGTGCAGTTTGGATGAGAACCAGGAAAGACAGGAAGTGAGAAATCCCAAGACAGCGAAAAGGAAGAGGAAGAGGAGGGTGGGGAGGAGCTGGCTGCTTACAGTTAATTTCCAGGTGGTTCCCCAAACCATGGGCCCCTAGTCCTGGTCCAGGAGGCCTACTCACCCGCTGATTTCCCTGCCAGCTGAGCTTGATTTTTTACATCAATCAATTAACCAATTAAACCAGCAAGCAGTTTGTTCAGAATAATTGCAAGGTTAGAGATGATTTTGCTTGCGAAATGAAACGGAAGGCAACTTCCAACATGTTTAAGAGCTGAAAATAATCAACCTGGCAAAATGTCTCCAACTTTTAAGTCTATTAAGGGTTAAATATCTGAGAGCTCAGCTAGAAAGAAAACCACAAACCTCTGCCCTTTTCCAATGTGAACTAGATGTACAAGTTGTTGTTTTTTAATTTTATTTATCATAAAAAACTAATCAAGTGTTACTGTAAGATGTGGATTGCCCTTTACCAGTCTAAAAACAAAATGATGCTTTCTGGATTAATTTGAAACACGCTCTAATGTTGCTGCCTAACAGTTAACATTAACCTAAAGACCAAAAAAGCACTTCAACCTGTATCCATTTAGAGGTATAAAAAGTTTTCCTGGGCAGAGTGGTGTGGGTTTGAAAAGGTCTCTTCAGTGCCAGTGTTAATTACTCGTTGTCAATGTACCAGTGAATTATTTTAAATACTATCGAAAATCTATCTTGAAAATAAAATTGGTGATAATTACAGTAATACTTGTAATTGAATTACCTTACCTACCCTGATAACTGGGAGGGCACAAACCTACACAGATCTCCCAATCTGCAGTACATCGGTTGTTATAGCATCTTCTTATTTAAAATATCTTTATAGAGATTTACATAAGTAACTCAGGATTTTCACCTGCACTTATTTGCTCAATTTTCTACTGCGCTATTAAAGCAAATTAAACATGGAAAGTTCAAAAACCATTATGGGAAACCTTCAGATCAACATTTTTTTCTCGTCATTTGCATTTTGAACTTGATTAGATATTAAAACAGCTTTGAGATGAAGTGCTGTAAGCAGGGGCGTAGCCAGGAATACATTTTTGGGTGGGCCTGTGCAAAAATGGGTGGCCCAGACTCTAACTGACCGTCCTGCCAGCATAGGGGCATCCCTCCAATTTATCAATTAATCCTCGAGCTACAGTGCCTTGCGAAAGCATTCGGCCCCCTTGAACTTTTCAACCTTTTGCCACATTTCAGGCTTCAAACATAAAGATATAAATTTTTTATTTTATGTGAAGAATCACCAACAAGTGG